AAACAATAACAGCAACCTCATATTGTGAAGAAACTGAGTGTATTCACAAAAAATTGAAAAAGAAACATTCTAGACTTGTGAATAAGGATGACCCAATTTTGGTGCATGACAATGCATGGCCACATGCTTCTCAATCAACTGTCCAAAAACTGCATAGCCAGAATTATGAAATTTTGTTTCATCCTCCATATTCACTTGATATCTCTCCTGCTGATTATCACTTATTTAAGCATTTTGAGCTTTGCATATGCAACAAAACATTCTCCATAAAGGAAGAGTTAATCAAAGCATTTGAACCGTTTATCACATCAAAGGATGAGAATTTTTTTAAGATGGGATCAAGAATTTAGAGGTACACTGGAGAACATTCATTTATCCACATGGTGCTGATTTCAAGTAAATAAATAAATTATTTATCATTTCAGAAGTGTTTCATTCATTTCCTATAAAGTGCATCATTTCATGTGTTACAACCTAATATAACTTCTGCATGAAGTTATATTTGAAAGGCAAGCACTTCCAGAGCTCATAATCAGATGGCTAACAATGAGAGAGGAGGAAGGATTTCTTAGTCACATGAGTTTGTTTTCATTTGTATAATATAGTAGTTGTATACTGATGCATTGTTTTACAAGATCCAAACTCCTTTACAGAGCATACTGTGTCTAGATTTTGATGGCTTCCTGTAATTTTAAAGGTAATGAAGCATAGTAATTCTTGATTATTTTGGTCCCATTAGCCAGGAAATCTATAGTCACCATACCATTTTGGTTCCAAAGAATTGGAAGCATAATCTTGCCAATAAAAATGTGCCTTTTTAGGTGATGAGGAATTACTGTATTTATATTGTTTGGACAGTGCATTAGTCTCTGGATCCAAGTGGTGAGTCTACATTTCACTCCCTTTAATTAGATGAAAAAGTTCTTTTTTTTCTTTCTGATACCTGTCTCTCAGAAACAATTGAATCTGGCCTCCTTCTGAAAAGGTAGGAACAAAGGTAGGACCTGCTATGCCAACATTTTTTCTGCATATTTAAGAATTCATTGACAGTATTATTTTTTTCACATACTGACCTTGATAGTTCACTAGTTCCTAAATAGTTAGGTAACAATTTCCCAAAATGACTGTATAAATTTGTTGGATCTTAAAAGATACTAGAATATACACAAAAGCAACTAGCATCAGCAGCCGGGAATAGGTCTGATTTTCCCTGAAATCTGATCCTATTTAAAATACCAATACCAGTATTAGTGTTGATAGTAGATACAGAAAAGAAACTATAGGAACACCTGCAGAAGTTAGTGAAGGAAAGCAAGAAGAAAGGACTAAAAATAAATTGCAAGAATACAGAATGTATAGTTGTTAACAAAAGGAACAGCCTAACATGCAAATTTCAAATTGGAGAAAACAAAAACAAGCAAGTACAAAAATTTAAATATCTGGGGAACATTTTAACAGAGGACAGAAAGTGTGACATCAAAGTCCAAAGGTGCATTGTGATAGTGAAGTATGTTTTCCAAAAACTAAGCAAAGTATTAAGAAACAGGAAAATTCATTAGAAAGATGCTTTCCAAAAACTAAGCAAAGTATTAAGAAACAGGAAAGTTCATTAGAAACAAAGAAAAGAATACTGAATTGTTATGCAATGTCAGTCCTCCTATATGGCAGGGAATACTGGACAGTCTCTCACAGATAAAGAAGAGACTTCATGCAAGAGAAACATGTTTTTACAAAAGGATGTTGAAAATATCATGGTCTGAATATGTGAGCAATGATAAAGTTTTAGAGAAAATGGAAACAAAATGGACACTTATACTTAACATCAGAAAGAGAAAATTGAAATTTCTAGGGCACATAATGAGGAAAGAAGGCTTGGAAAATTTGGCACTTACAGGACATAATGAAGGTAAGAAGGAGAGAGAGGAAAACAAAACATAACCTACCTAACAAGCTCATATAAATGGTTGGTAGAACAGGGTTTAGTGAAAAGACAAAAATGAACAGGATTTAGTAAAAAAAGGCAACATTTACTAAGTTCTACAAAAGACAGGAAATTGTGATGAGCCATGATACCACATGTCTTGAAGGGACAGGACAGTATAGACGATATAATAGGACATCTGGTTGTTACACAGCTGTTATTTCCTCCAAAATTGTTTATGTTATGTTGCATTTCAAAAACAGAAATCCAATTCCAGCTTTATACTCCACCTTACTGCACCTTAACACCTGCAATACAAAATCATTTATTAGTACAGGTCTTAAAATAAAAAATTTATTCCATGTATAGATGCATGTTTCAACATGTTCAATTTAATTGGAAGAAGGTTAGTACAAATCAAGACAAGTCTTCAACAAACCCTGCTTCTAAAATATGAATTAATTTTAAAAGTATGTTCACTCAATACAAGAGCCTCTCAAGGTAGAGGGTTACTGCATGGTGTTGTATGAGCATAAGAAAAGGCAAGAAGTGAAGTTTATAGGGTTATGCAGGAAAGATAAGGGTTAATTGAAGAGGTCAAGATTATTGGTGATTGAAAAAACATCCTACTGAGAATCTGTTCCACAAAGCAGCAATTTGAAGGGAATGGAGATGAGTCACCCTTGTGTATATGGCATGGTGGGAGCCAGTTATAAAGGTCAGGGGTGGTGCAACTAAGGAATATAGCTAGTCTGAACACATGTCATTGAAGTAGCGATAGGGCAGTTTTTACTAGAGGTTACTAAAAAATTATTGACCTGACCCTCTTTCTAAAATTTAGCCAAAGTTATGTTTCAGATTATTCTAGAGGTTATTGAGTAGAAATAATTATAGATTCAAATACGGTTATTTGTTGCTATTTTATAGTGTTAACTTTTTACTCCTTATTTATTATTGATTACTTATTTATTGTTGGTTATTATTATTATATTTACTTGTGTTTATGTGTGTATTCATAGTTTGTGAAATTGTTTATTATTTATTTAATTTGTTTATTTATTTATATTTTTTGATTATTTTATTTTGGAAAGGTTGGTTATTGTATTTGTTTAGTTAAAAGAATTGACCTTGTCTAAAGTATGTTACATTATCTGCATTGTATATAATGTATATATCTACATTTTTCATGATGGTATTTAACAAGGTATTTGTTTTTAGTTTTCAATTTTTAAGTAATGTAGTAAAAATTTTCTTTGAAACATAACCATTACCACCTACCCAATAACTGTTAGCATAATATGATAGACATTATTACCTATAATGCACCATTGACAAGTACACATAGTCAAGCCAAAATACAATACACATAGCCTGAAGATTGTGTTCAAGCATGAAACAGACTGTCGCCACTCGGTGTTGATCTCAGTATATAAGTGTAGACTGAGGTCAACACCAAGTAGCGACAGTCTATTTCATGCTTGAACGCAATCTTTAGACATGGTATGAAGATTGCATTCATGAATGAAGCAGACTATTGTCGTTTGGTGTTGACCTCAGTGTCCACTTTTAGATTTATATTTACATATGCTCTATCCCTGATATTAAACGCTATAACCCATAAATATAGCATACCTTAAAACTATATTTATCATATATATTTATAAGGGTAAAGGACAATAGGAAAACTGTAATATTAGCCAAAGATTTCATCCAATGTGGACTTTTTCAAGGCAAAAACGAAATGAATTTATTAAAACAAAGTAACTATTAACAACAAAACAAAATGTCCTTAGCAACTGGAAGAATTTAGAAAATGCTATTCTATTCATATTGTTAACTGAAAATTACGTCAAATATTGTCTCGTGTGGAAATATTGTTTTTATTGTTGTGTTGATGGATTCAACCATTTTCTTTTGATTTCTTGTTACAGTTGTGTACATTTGCTTGGGAGAGTAATAATTCTGTTTGGAAAGGTGAAATAGGGAAAAAGCCTGGGATTCATTTTTGGCTTTTTGAATCTGTCAACACAACAATAAAAACAATAACAGTTTTTTCTCTTATACTTTTCATTTGTGGAACTCTCTTTCAGCTTCTTGCTTTCTGCTCAACTTTGAGGTTCAAAAAATTTAAATGCAATATCAATCTGTCTTCTTAATTCCTGTTCTTTTATTGTTATCTCTCCTTAATGATGTTTTTTTTTTCTCGTATTCTCTCACAGTTAGTAACCCCTTGCATCTTAGTTGCTTTATTACCTTGTTTGGGGGGGAAAAAGATTAAGAAAAAACTCTATTATTAGCATTTGTTGTGTAGTGTATAAATATATCTGGTAATAATTCAATAGATTTATCTGTCATGAGTGTGATGAAACTTTAAGTTGTTTGAAAGTTAAATCAATTGAACTTTTATCAATTTATTAACTATTGTCACTCTAATTCTAAATTTTAGTCTTGGGTGTGATGATAAACTACATCTAGCAGCAAGGCCTCTGGTCAGGAGAGTGGAGTTTTTGAGGAATGCGGAATGACCTCTTAATTGCTGTTGTTTCTAGGTCCACCCTGACCTGGGGTGGTAGCACCTGTTAGGATCCCAGCTATGGGCAAATAGGGAAACTCAAATAAAAAAAAAAAACACTATGAAAGTATAAAAATACATTTTTATAGTAAAAATACCAGCAATGCATTTTTATGTAAAAAATAAAATAAAAATTGGTAACAATACCTATTTATAGTAAAATTAGCAACAATACCTATTTATAGTAAAATTAGCAACAATACATTTTTAAAGCAATATAACCAGCAATACATTTTATCTGTAGTTGAAGGCATGCAATTTTGTTCAAAATATATTTACTTGTAGCCATAAAATTGTTTACAAAACTTTATTTAGAAAAAAAAAAACATTAAATTTCACCATTAAATGACCCAATGAGTTAGTATGCTGTAAAACAAACCAAACAAAAATTCTGGTTGCCTTGAAATATGTTAAATCCTAATAATTTTATGTATATTGTAAGATGTTATTAATTTGTATCATATATATTTTAAATGTATTTTTGTTTTTTTTTTAATTTGCCTCTAGGTAACCTGTGGAGAATTATACCTTCCGAGTATTCTTGGTGATCTTGCCCAGAGAAGAAGTAACATCACTTCAATTCAATCTTGGCAGAACCTGCAGATTATTCATGCGACAACTCCTATATCAGAATTGATGGGTTATTCCACTGCCCTTCGGACAATTTCCTCTGGAATGGCTACATTTTCTTTGGAACTTTCACACTATGAAGCATTATCCACAGACCTACAAAACAAAGTTGTCGAAGAAACTACTGGACTTTCTCAATCATTCTGATGTTTCAAAGACAAGTAGAGCTGCTTAAAATTATGTATTGTTTGCCTGTAACAAGAAAATTATCACCAAGGGGTTTTGTATGACCAAAAATTCTTGAACTTTCTAAAACAAATTGTTCTATAGGCAATTTACTACTTACTTTTTAGTATTTAAAAAGGGAAAAATATTTTTAGAATATTAAGCAATAAAAAAAGTTAAATTTTCAAATTCATTGTATTTTCGAAAACTTTATAATGTTTTCAAAAAGCAATTTCTCTGCTTTTATAAGGGGGTACTGAAAAATTCTTAACCTAAAATAAATGTTTGATCATTTGGTTAGATTTTGGAAAGTGACTTGAAACAAGAACTTTTCAGTAACCCTTGTATTAACCCACTGTGGTTGACAGGATTTTCATTCTATTGCATTTATCTGGTTTAACTGCAAATGGCGACAATTCCTATCAGTCACTCACACACACACAATACAATAACAATGATTTGATGTCAATGATAAAAATTTCTGTTTTATTATGATTGATGAAAATTTAGTTCTGTGTGTGTCTCAAAACTATTTAATATGAGAGCATATTTTCAAATTTTTCCTCTTCTCACAAAAATGAATTTTTCCAAAAGAAGGAATTCCCAAAATATCTTTGCTTCAATGTCAAATTTGTACAGATAAAGAGAAACAAAAGGACTCATAATATGCATGGACATTGCAATTCTGCTTTAAATCTGTTTTGAAATCTGCCACACAAAATAATGAATTAGAGTTATGTTTCTGCTGACTTTAAATGATGCATTTAATGAAAAGGCATATTCCAAGTTGTTTCTACAGTTTTCACCCATTGTAAGTGACATGGATAATGTCAGTTGTTATTGACAAGCCGGTGAACATATAAGAATTAAAATGACATAATCTCAAACAGGCGAAATTTAGAAGAGACGATTAGATTTCAATAAAACTGACCACTCAAGTTAAAGGGTTACAGAGTAAAAGGTACAGCTTATGCAAATATATGGAGAAGATAATGGTTAACCATAGATTTGAACAGGTTAAGATTGTAGTGATCAGAGAAGCATCCTCTTGGGAGTCAGTTTCGCAATTTGTGAGAAGAAGTTGCTCAAGTTAAACTTACATCTTATCAAAGGAATATGAAAGGAATGAGGGTGGTTCACTACAATGAGCATGGCATGGTGGGTCTTATCTGTGAAGCTTAGGACTGGTGGAATTAAAGAGTGTAGTTCATCTGAACATTTTTCATCAAAATAGTGAAAGCGCAATGAGAGGTTTGCGACGTCTCATCTGTGAGAAAGAAGAAAAAAATAATTTGTCACCCACAAAGACATGTAGACACTTTTGGACTCTACAGGGTGATTAAAAAGTAACTCCCCATTTTAAAACACTTATAAAATAACTTTTTTATAACTATAATTTTTACAAGAAATGGATATGAGAGGAAAACATTTAGCATGCGGCTTTATTTAAAATTCAATATGGGCACCAGATTTTGCTAACAGCTTCTTGAGCTGTCCAGGAATCATGTCAACTGATTTTCCCAGGAACTCTTGTGGTATGGAAAACACAAGTTCTTTAATTCACCTTTTAAGCTCTTCCAATGTCTTGGTTTCGTATAGTAGACTTTATCATTTATCTAACCCCCAAAGAAAAAAGTCACAGGGTGTTAAGTCAAGATTCCTGGCTGACTACTCATACATAAAATAGGGATATATATATATATATATATATATATATATATATATATATATATGTAAGCAAATATATGGATATAGATCCGACAGTATGAAGAAAAATATATATGGAAAAAACAAACAAAAATCCTTATATACAATTATGCTGTTTTAATGTTAATATATCAGCGTCGGACGTTTCGTTTTGTCATGTTGTATTGATAATGTTATAATTTATGAATATGTCCTAAAGATGGTTTATTAGACCGAAACGTCCGACGTTGACATATTAACATTAAAACAGCATAACTGTATATAAGGATTTTTGTTTGTTTTTTCCGTATATATTTTTCTTCATATATATATATATGTGTATATTTATTAGAACAGGTGTAAAGATGTTTGAATACTCTTTTTCAATCACCCTATACTGAGAGTGGAAAGTGAAGATTAGGTTTATTCTACTTGTACATTGATATAGGTAATATATAATTGTAATAATAATTACAGAATTTAGAGTTCAAATATCTGGTTGAAAGTTTTATATTTTGAATATAAAAGATTCTTTGTGAGTGCTTATTGCTTGAGCTGTTCTAAGTTAAAGCCATTTATTGATGAAATTCTGTATTGAATGAATCAATCAATCAATGGTGCTTTTAAAGAACTCATTATGAGCTATGGTGTAATGGAGACAGTATCAGAAACATTTTTTAAAACCTATCACCATGACTTATTAACAAGGTAGACATGTGTTTTTTATACTTATATACAAGAAGAGTGATTCAGTAACGCTCTGGGTATTTGTTCTTAATCATTTCACACCAAGAAAGGCAATAATGCCACTAACATGCAGCAGGTTACAGGGAGTGAAAGAGAATGGAAAGACTTTAGTGAGGAGAAGAACAATAAAGAAACAAGATTCAGGAAGACAGAAGATGGCAGTTGACATTGCATTTAAACTTTTGAAGATTGTAGGTGACAGTGAAGCAAGAAATCAGAAGGGAGTTCCACAGTTGAGAAGTGTGACAAGAAACTATTAGAACTGACAGTTTCATCTAGCTAGTTCAACAGTGAAATGGTGAGACCTAGTTGCCAACGTAGTAGCACACTTAAATTCATGCAGTTGAGGCACTAAGGAGAATAGCTCATCAGAACAAATGCCATAAAAATAGTTGAAGAAAAGACAGAGGGAAGCCATGTCCTGATGGTGAGAAAGTCAAGATGCCAGGTCAGGATCAATTACATTACAGACCATTCTTTGAATTTTTCAAGAATCTGGAGACATAGTAGGAGCACCAGACCAGATATGGCAGCAGTATTTAATGCATGGATGAATAGTAAATTTATAAATGTGCAGAAAGGATTCTGATGAGAAAAATTGTCTGGTACAACACAGTGAACCAACTTTCCTAGCAATAGACCTAGCAATTGATTCATATAATCACTCCACTTTATGACAGTGGAAAACATGTACCCAAAAAGGTGAAAAGTGTTGTTCTACTGGAGTTTAACACCAGCCATGCAGATGGCAGGCAGAAAAGGTTATCTATCGTGATTAAATGAAAGCAGTTTTGTGTTGGAGGCTTTAAAATTTACAAGCCACTCCTTGCCCCAGTTAGCTACTAATTGAAGGTCCTTTTTGAGAGCAGTTGCCATTTTTACTCTGTCCGATCTGTCAGACTTTTCTTTTTTTTTAAGCAAATCACTCCAAGCAAGGCAGAAGTAGCACTAGCACACAAGGTGTCACAGAGAGTGAGAGTAAGAATAAAGAGGAATGTTTGGGAAAAGGATAAAGAGAAGGACATGGATCAAGGTCAAGGCAGCAGAAGACGTTGATAGACATTACATTTGAAGATTATAGCTCTCAGGGAAGCAAGTGATATGAAGGGAGTTCCACTGACAGGAGGCATGGGATAAGAAGCTGTTGAAGTAGAAGAGATGGATACTGTGAGGAACGAGAAGACTTACCCCGGCAAAGTGAATTTGCTTGGTGTGTCAGGTCCTGTTGAAAGATTGCAATTGGCATTAAAAGAGAAATGAATTATTCCAAAATTCCTATATTGTGGGCAGACATACAAAAAAAAAAAAGACGAAGAATTCAAACAAGCTTGAATTTATAAAATCAGAAGTCTCAAGCGAACAAGAAGTAAGTCTGATATACAAATTTTAGTTGACCCTGATGCAGGCATAAATAGTGAGTCTGTGAGGAAGACAGCAGAACGTTTGTTGGCGTACGTGCATACTAACGAGAATGAGAGAATAAGGAAGAGGTCACTCATGACAATTCAATTGGTAGAGCAGAGGACTGTAAAAAAAGCAAGCACTTTAATCCATTTCAGTCATCACAAATGATGGGCGAACTGAATTACCCAGAGATACATTTAGCCATTTTGACAGTGAAAGGGTGGGACCAAGATGCCAACCTAGTAGCACGTTTAAATTCATGCAGTTTGGGAACCAGTGAAAGTAGTTCGTCAGAGCAGTTGCCATGAAAGTACTTGTAGAAAAGACAGAGGGAAGCCACAGCACACCTGCAGACAAGATGCCAGATCAAGACGAACCACATTGCATATCCATCTCGGGTTTTGTCGAGGACCTCGAGATGAACAGCGAAAGCACCAGACCATATATGGCAGCAGTATACCATGCAAGGACGAATGGTTGATTTGTAGATTTGAAGATTGATTTGTAGATTTGCTACTAAGACAAGTGTAAATAGTTGTGTCATCTGCATAGATACCTCATTGGAAACTGATGACATCAGGAAGGTCATTGATGAAGTTTAGAAATAGCATAGGTCTGAGGATAGAGCCCTGGAGGGCACCTGCATTAATATGAAATGAACTAGAAGTGTGTCCATTCAACATGACCTTCTTTACATAATTTGTTAGGAATGGTTGGATTAGGCCAAATATTCATTCAGAAACACTGTAGCCCTTAAGTTTGTGGAGAAGGCCAGCACGCCAAACCATGTTGATCACTTTGAAATATCTAGGACCACACCCCAAGCTTCACTGTTCTTATCTATAGCTTGATAGATAAATTCAGTGATGGCCGTTACCACATTGGCAGAAAGACCTGGAGAAACAGAAGCAATATTGTTTATCCAAAAGGAGGTTGTGTGAAGTAAGATGCTTTACTAATTTGACATTAATTAGAGCCTCTAATACTTTGCCAAAACCAGGTAAGAGATTAATACGGTGATAATTCAAGGGATCAGAGGGTTCTCCAGAGTTCTTAAAGACAGAAAATACAGAAGAGGACTTCCAACAAGCTGGAAAGCTGTTACATTCCGTGCTAAGGGAATAAGCACATAACACCAGGTGGAT